AACCTTACATGGCATTGCGTGTGACGAGTCCTTTTCGAAGGTTGACAGATGTGTTGCATCAAATCTTTTGCTGCTGCTGTATGGTCGTTGCAGAGTTTCTGATGTCAATTTCATCCACGAGATTCTGCACGACTTGACTGGAGGGACAGGTTTCCTGGAGGTGACAACACGTTACCACAAGTCAGCAAAATCAGCTCAGCAGAAGGCCATGCTTTTGCCTATTGTCATCTCAAGCGTCGGAGTGGTACAATTTCCATGGATGCATGCATGGATTTCAAACAGGAAGACATGTGGACTGCCCACATCTGGTTTAGTTCAGGGAGCCTTACTGCCAGCGCCTTCACTAGGCGACCGCGTCGAGTGGATGAAGAGGCCACTTTCTCCAGGTGAGGTGACAAACATTTTGAAAGGGTTCTTGAATTGTGCAGACAAGAACTTGAGTAGCCATAGCTGAGCTTAAAGGCTACTGCTTTGAGCTGGGCGGCAAAAGCTGAAATTCCACGGGATCAAAGTAGGATCCTGGGGAGGCACGCTGATGCCACAGCCGTGACATGAGCATAGGTCCGGTGAATGCGCTGCAGAAAGTGATTACACTTATCAGAGATGGCATCTTCAACCCAGATGCTACAAGAGCCAATTACTTTGCAGGAAGTTCGCATCAATCGGTGGGAACACCGGCACATATAGTCATGCAGCCTTTCACTCCAGCGTTTGGGGGACGAGTGCAACCGGGGACACCCGGCCTTGACGAAGTGCCACTTGCAACAGGTGGTGCAACTGGAGCAGCAGTGGCGCATGGGGCGCTTGGCCTGGCATCTGATGTGAAGACCGAGTCCAGTTGGAGCCTTGTCGCAGGGGACGTTGCTGGGAAGGTCATTGACATTTCCTCTGATTCAGGGGTTGACAGCTCAGAGAGTGACACTTGCAGCAACACATCTGGACAAGGGGATTCGACCGATGTCGAGTTGGAGGAGGAAGCCGGGCCACTTTTGCCAGGCGATCCATCAAGTAGAGCGGTGCGCGTGTGGACCAAGAATACCAAGACCAAGATCATTCACGAATGTCGTGATGAGGTGGATGCGTGGTTTGGCGATCAGGACGCATTCTTGGCGTTCATGAAAGACAAGCTGACTCGATGCGGCAGGGTCATAACTGGAAGCTATCACGTGGTCATTGGACCGATTGATTGGACTGCAAAATGCAGGGTGTGTTTCAAGGGCAGACGTGCACCATAAAATATGGCACATGTCAACTCATGTCACTTTTCACTTGTGCTGCGAAGAACGCGGAAAAAGTTTCATTTCAGATCATGTGATCATCAATGTGCAGTGGCATGATGCAGTCATGTTTGAATCAAGCAACCATGTTTGCAACATGTGTGGATGTTTGCTTGCGCCGACTTGACACGTTGCGAATGTTTGCAATTTCACATGTGAGCGTATTTATCTGAAGAGATGTCCTTCAGTACATGTCATGTCAAATGGAATCAATGCGATTCAAGATCAATGTGATCATATCCAAGACGCTATGTGCGTCTCATCCACAATGTGTGGCCGCTGCAGCAATGTGCTGGAATGTCAGCGTAGGGAGAGTCAATGGACACTCATGTTTTCCATATGCACCAACGGTTTGATGTTTTGCAATCTTTGATGTGCAATGTTTTCCAATTGCGTTCACCTTGTTCAGCTTGCATTTGTCCATGCCTTTTCACTTGTGCATACATGTCGCTGATGTTTTGCAGGTTCATGACATGTTAACTAACACCTTTCACGATTGCACGTGAAGCTTTGCTGTGATGACATCAATCGTGGATTCAAAAGCACACCTGCAGAAGCGGTGCAGTGACATGGGAATGTCAGATCGGGCTATCTTGCAACTGACTCAGAACAATTTGGACACGATGGGCAAGATCGCATTTGCAGTAGGTCAACCAGGGCACCCTTTGGACAACGCTGAGTTCTTGACCTTCGCACAGAACACATTGGGTGCATTGATTTCTCAGGCCGATACGGCCGTGTTGAAGCGTCTGGTTTTCGAAGGGCATACAATGGTGCTTGGACAGTTGCGGGAACTTGTAACAGATCCCAATGCAGCTGCGACGAGAAAATTACCAGCTGTGGAGCGCGAGCACCGCATGCAGCAGTTGAAGTTGAAGCTCCATGGCGTTGTGGTTGAACGCCAACTGGAGCCCTCACATGAGCTCTTGGAGGCGATGATGCAGCAGAAGGAGTCAAACCAATTGTGTTACATACAGTTGGAACGTTTGATGTCTCGCGAGTGGGAGATAACTATGGGCAAGACGAAGAAAACAACTTTCCTTGGATACAGAAAAACTGACAGTTCGGGAGAAGTCTGACGTTCCCGACCAATATCACAGCAGTGAGCTTCAGGCTTTTGAGGCCTTGAGACGTCGTGGAGTTGCGATGGACTTCGCAGACATTTTGTCTTGGGAATGTCATGAACGATACCTTCAACAATTGACGTCACACCTTCGAATGGATCCCCCACAAAACTATATGCACCCAACGCTGCAGCAGGTCTTGAAGGCCGATCGGCAGGTGTTCATGTATTTGATTCGAACAGGGGCCCAGCTGAAGCGCTTGTCAGACAACTCGCTGGACCTTGACCAGAAGATTTTTGAAGCTTTGCAATCTTATGAGGTTGGTTTTCACCTGTTGCCATTGCCCAAGATGTCAGTGCGTGCCGACAGCCAATCTGGGGCGCCATCTGGAAGTGCTCCGAGTCAAGGAAAAGGAAACAATTGGCGCATGGATGTTTGTTTGCCAAAATATGGAATTTACAGATTTTCACCGGTCTTGAAATGAATTTTGTTGATTTCACCCGCTACCCCAAGGATCCAACAGATGCTCCATGTGAGTGATGTGGAGTTCCCAGTGGTTTTCACTTTGTCACATGTTTGTTTTTGCACACCCTGGTCGATCAACCAGCACCGCTGCTCTTTAGATGGAAACGGGTTCATTCAACCCTGCTTCGCAAAACCCGCGTGGAAATGTATTTCGAATCCAAAAATGCATAGGGCATAGGGACGCTTTTAATCCTTGTTGATGTGACGTCCAAACTTTGGGTCCGTTTGTCCTTTTGGACACCCGCCCCGTCAAACTTGAAATTGTTTTGCGCTTAAACTTAAACCAAAGCAGTTGGAAAACTGGACAGTCCGGGAGTTCATGCCGTTTGCACCAAACGGATGGCTTTTCAATGGCAACCACCCTTTGTCACCACACTGCTGGCGCAAAAACTGGCCAAGACTTTTTCGTTTAATGATGCATCGCAAAACTAAATTAATCACGGCCCATCGAAACTTGGGTTATTCTTACATCAAATTGTTGCATTTTCAATGGCTGAATGTCGACCCATCCGCAATTTTAACCAAATTTGACGAAATTTGTCAATGCTAAATGCTAACCTTTGTTGAAACGACTCCTGCATGGCCGATGCCGACCAGGGTGTACCAGATGCCAAACAATTCTTGAAGAAAACGAATGTGTCAAGAATGGATGGTCATGTAGGGTTTGGTATGTTGTTGTTTTTTCTTTATTGAACATTTCAGTCATATAATTTTTTTCTCACTTGTCCGACCAGATTTGGTCATTAGTTTCTCTTCAGGAATGGACATCAAGAATGTGTGGATAAAAATGCAATTATGCCACATCCAGATTTACATGAATGGTCTTGCAATATGGAAATGTATGGGGCATTTTTGAACCGAATTCCATTGTTTTTCAGAGTTTTCCAGCTCAAACCCTTAGGGCCTTTGCACAGCAGCCTTTGGGAGTGTAGCCCAATTTTCAGCATGGGGATGGTCTTTGGGATGATTCGGGAGGAGATGCCAAAATTCAAAAATCATGGAAACCTTGCCGGAATGCAATGCCGTGAGTACGAACCTTACTGGGTGGCCAAGACTTCGTCGGATGCCTACCCTGAGGCCAGAACGGAAAATGAATTTCAAAGCACAGCTTTCCGAACATTGGCAAAATACATCGGGGTGTTCTCCGCACCACAGAATCAGTCACAAGAACATGGCAACCAGGAAACCATTGCGATGACTGCACCAGTGGTAATGACACCCTCAGAAAAAATTGCCATGACAGCGCCGGTCGTGATGACATCTGAAAAAATGGATATGACCGCACCGGTGGTCACAGCATCAAAGACAATGAGTTTCATTTTGCCTTCCAAATACATCCAGGCATCTAAGGAACCGCCCAAACCACTAGATGCTCGAATCAAATTGGAAAAAGTTCCTGGCCATATCGCTTTGGTGCACACTTTCTCGGGTTTCTCGAGCGCAGAGAAGGCTCGGCCCATAATGACAGAGTGCGTTGCGAGAGCTCGTGAGGCTTCTCCATCCCTGAGTTTTGTCATGGACGAGATGACAAAGGAACCTAAGTGGGAATTCTTGGGCTACAACCCACCTTTCACACTGCCATGGTGTCGCACAAATGAGGTAGCAATTCACTTGGCAGAGCTCCCTGATGCATCTGTTTTGAAGTCTGCTTAATGTACAGCAGATCCTGAAGTGTCTTCTCGAGACTTCAATTGCAAAGAAAACCGTAGATTAGGTTCTTCCAGACCGATATCCATATAATATGCATGTAAAACAGACGCTTTCTGAAGTGAATGTGTTGAATATTTAAAACACTAGATTTCGGTCTGTTCTTGCACAGATGTACTCTAGTGAAGCGCGAATGGCTGCTTGCTGCCAAATCATCTTGCACAGATTGGAGCAGGTATGGCCGGAGGGGCAAAAGAAAGGGTGTTGTCCTTCTAGATCTACTGCAAGTCCTGGGTCCACATGTTTCCGACACCCACAGAGGGGACATGACGCAGCTTTGTTATCAAGCCCCAGAGAAACCGAAACGAAAACCTACAGATACATTCTTGACAGTCATGAAACATCATGAAACATCATGAAACATCATGAAACCTCATGTCATTTTCAAGGCCATGGTTTCAACACGACTTTCATTTGTTTGCTGAAATTGTGCCTGTCAAAGTTTGAGCATTGCATGGCTGCTTTGCCGTCTCCAGAGCAACCGGGGTTGAGACTTTGATGCCCACCCCGGTCTCCCCAATTTCCCCAGTTTCGCGATCAAGCTGGACCAAACAGACTACAAGGTGACTTCGAATGCGTGATATTGATGACAACATACAGAATCAGTACATAGACTCTTAAAGATTGAAACATATATATGTTTTATTTTGCTTGATTTCTTTGAACTATTGGTAGATATTAGTAGTAACATGTAGTAAGATTTTTTTTTTTCATTAGGCAGACTGAAGGCTAACGTAGTCCCGTCCAGGTACGCCGTATTCTTCAAGGAGGAGGTTTGTAAAGTGATGCACTCCATGCAAAATAAACACGCCAGGTACTCAGGGCACGGGCACGGCAGGGCAGGGCACGGCAGGGCACGGCAGGGCACGGCAGGGCACGGGCACTGGTCCAGAAGTCAGAGGCGGGGCTGCTGAGTCAAGTTTGCCAAGCCAAGAAAGTCGAACAAAGTCGAACAAAGTCGAAACTGGCCAAGGCTGAAGGCTCTGAAAGTCGAAACATGATGGAGTGCGAGCCTTGAAAGTCATTGATATGTCTTCAGGGCACTAAGTGCGATAAAGTTTCAGCATCCTGCACCAAAGTGTACCACTCCCATGCTTGGTACGTACCACTCCCAATTCCGTGGTTGATCTCAGTTCGCTTAACTCCGTTTACTCAGTTCACTCCATTCGCATGTTATACTTGCCTCCAGCTGGAGCGTACCGTGTCAGTCTTTTTCGAGCACCCCGTTCGAACGTAGACGAGATTTATGTGCGGAACCTCAGGGACTGTTGCTGCATCTTTGCCTATGTAGCCTATGTATATATATATTATGTATATATATACACAACTATATGGTGTGATATGACATGACATGATATGATATGACTTTCTTAGAGTGTGATGATGGACATCTTTCAAGATCCAATCGAGGCTTCAAGCCCAAACTTGACCCAGCCCTTGATGGAGCTGGACTGTTACAGGAAGGCAGCCATGGGCCTCCATGAGGTGCGTGAAGTGCTGTGATGTTGCTGTGAGTCATGGTGAACCACCGATACTTGGGGATGGTTGGGGATGGGGTTGAACGGGATGTGTATGGGTCATCCCATGAACTGAGATTTTGCATTCTGGTTAAATAGATAGGTAACCAATGGGATTTTGGAATCAACCGAACCGTCCAAAGAGAATCAATATCTACCAACATCTACGAGAGACTCTCTGTCAGAATCTAAGAACAGCTCTCGCATGTGTCTCTCAGTTCACTCCAGGCCCTCAGATTGCGCGGCTTTCACAAACCTCCCAATGATCCAGCTGCCTGGTATGCCTACAAGACCAAGACCAGGACATAACTTCAAACTCCAAGAGACTGCTTGAGAATTACTGTAGAATAAAATGCTTAGAATCCAAAATGATTTGGAATGAATTAGAGAAATGCACAAAGTGGTGCAACGATGGTGCAATGATGGTGAGGATCGAAAAGTGGGCTGCACCAGCAGTTTGGACTCTCTTGTTTCTGAGTGTTTTTGAGACTCCTGTCTGGTTGGGTGCCCAATCGTGTTCTCTTAGCGCTGTTGTGCATTGTGTGTCCATTCTCCGCTCAGTCCTGCGGCTTTCCGGTGCCAAGGTGCAAAAGCCGCCCGTTTGAAGATGTTGGAGGCGCCTTTTGAAGAGCAGAAATTTGATGCAGCGTGCTCTTGGCGTCACCAGCCGTTACCTCCGCTACCTGCTGCAGTTTGCAGAGCTGCAGACGATGACAACCGGTACATCATGAGTGGCGTACCACTGCTGCCAATCAGTTTGGCAGTGGGGAACTCAATCACATGCTTTAAGGCTTTCTATTTTCAGAAACTGATTCTTGAAGGGTCTGAGTCCAGACTGATTGCGAGACGAAGATTGAATTCATGGTGATGTATAGAGCAAAGAAAGAGGAAGGATGGTCTCCAGGGAAAGGGTGTTGTTTGATTCTAGCACCGTGTCGCAGCATACTCTGGACGCTGTATCTCTGGATGAACGCACCATTAAGCACCTATATCGCCTATATCATATATCTCTCTGTTGCAGTCGGCAGTGGTCGAGCAAAATGCACAGTTTGCACTTTCGCTGTAGGTCAGCTTGGAGTCCTGCATTCTGCTTTTCCTCTTTATCCACTTTGCGTGATGCTCTAAGATTTTGACGATTTTGACCTTCGCTTCGTGTGTCTTTCGTGTATCGTTGAGTATGCTGAGTCTACATCAAAACTACACGCTGGTGTCTTGCAATTCCGCCAGTAGATGCTGCATCCGATCCTACTTTATCGAGGTCCCATGTGCGACTATATGCCGCAGTACGAGGTTCAGGTTGGAAGCCGAAAGAGAGCGAGCTGTGGCTGAGCTTGTCACCTGTATGACTCCATTTCTTCCAGCCATGACACAGGGTTGCTCCGACCCATATCAACCCATTGTAGGTAAGTGATAGCCACAAGGGAGGAAGATCGGTCATTTTGTTTTTTTCTCTTTGTCAAACCATTTCACCCCCTGGTATCTGGGTGTTGGAAGCAACCTCGTGACATGACCCCATGGTACATCCGATTTTTAGGTCACGCAACCACAGCAGGACCTCGGTTGTATCTGTGGCATTGCAACCATGCAAATGTGGCTTACATGCTAAGATTTTCAGCACAACTCCGCAGGACATCTTTGCCTTGAAGGCAGCCTTCTGGTCTTGAGTGTTTTGGACCCGTCCCTAGCAATTCTACCGCTTGGAGACTGTGAAGGTCACGTGATTGACTTTGTTGAATGCGGTAATTTGGTTTGGCAGAGGGATTTTGCGCAAATCGAGTTCAGGACCTGGTGCAAAGCCTCGCTGGTTCCTCTGCACGCTTTGCTCCTTTGCTGAGGTCGGGTTTTGGGGTAGTGCAAGATCAGCGATTGATAGCGATTGGCATCATGGAATTCCCTGCCATTGGATTATACATCCTTTCTGTACGATCAACACCAATTCATGAGCTCATGAGATTTGAAGACTTGCGGACGTATCGCCCATATTTTGCTCCTATGGCGTCCGCAGAAGAAAGCTCAGTATACATATGTCATTACACACATACAGATGTGTATATATATATATTTGTATATATACATATATATATATATATAAATATTGGTCTACATATTTTGCAGTATTTATTCAGCACTGAGGTTCATGGTTTAAAGTGCCAGGACAAGGCTCTTTGGACTCCTGGACGCCCTTGCTGCCTGTGTTCTCCATCGCAGGTTTGGCCTTGCTGCTTGTTCGGTACCACGACTCCAGGTGCGTTGAAAATTGAATCGGATGACGCCGATGACGCCTCAAACACTGAGAGCACTTGGCTAATGGCTGCAGGAGCTGGTTTTCTCGTTTTTCAGAACTACCCTGGCAGTAAGCAAGGCGCAAATTCTGGAATTGATCAGTGAAGTTTGCTGTGGCCTTTCAAAAGTAGATTAGGGTAGGTCTTCTTGACATATAAATCTGATCAAGCGCCTGGCTATAGTCACTGTAGTTGTGCTTGTGGGCAAAACACAGGGTGTTGGTTAATAGGACATCTACTTAGCAAAAGATAAACCTAATGATCCTGGCCGTCTCATATTCAAATGCGGATTCAAATGTTGTTCAGCTGGGGTTTGTTTGCCCAGATCTATTTGATTGAGAGATGATGACAGATGCATTTTGCCCTTGCTGCAGGTGGGTATGTTTTTTCTCTACACCGTAGTCCTGTTTGCTTGGGTAGCGGCCACAATTTTCGATGACGAAGAGGCAGGGTGTCGATTTGGTGGATGTGTTTGAGCGTTTAAGCCTTAAGCGTTTGAGCGTTGTGAAATCTTCAGATAGAGGGTCAATTCGCACAAGTTCCGCAGGGAAAGGATCAGTTTGGAGAACCCATTGGCCAAGGCTTTGAATCGCAGCAAGCTTAGTGATTTGCTAAGAAAAGCGGTGCCATGAGACGAAACCAGAGACCAGACGAGACCAGACTTTCGGAGGTTTAGTGCTTCCCTCTACACATGCTTCACGACCCTCAATACGGCAACCTTGCCAGATTCAATGGTAGGGAGACTCAGATGTGCACAAGGAGCGAGGCCAGAACCAAACTCATATCGCTGACTCAACTTGCAGGTGCCTTCCTACGATTCAAGTCGAAGCTACTTGCTGCTATGGACAGCAGAGATTGAAATAGGAACTCAACCAGTGATATTATGATATTTCCCTCCAGTGATATCCTCTGCAGGATGCCCTTCATCTTTGTGGGAGCAGTTCTGCTGAAGCAGGCTGGGAGGGCCAGCTTGGTCAAGTCCAATCCAGGCCTCTTCCACCTGTGCAGGTTATTTTAGCAGGTGTGTACAATGACTACAGCAAGCACACCAAGAACTTCTTGGTAGAAGGCATGCACTGCTTAGATTTGAGTTTGTCAAACCGCTTCACATGAAGGAGATGATTACTTGAAATTCCTCGCGCCATTAAATTTTATAGATTGCTTGACATGTGAGGACGACGTTTACGGAAGTCTGGTGTTGACGGGGCCTTCGCACTTCTGAGACTTGACTTTGGGAAGATGATGAAGTAAATAGTGACGTGAACCTTGCAACGGGGAAAGCTAATGACACTGGTGTAAGGGACATGTCTCACACGTTGTGCCTACAAATTTCATGCCTACAAAGCCATTGCTTGGCTTGTACCGTCCTGGCCTCAGGAAGAGTCCTGCACCCCCTGGATGCAACAAGGGAGATGTTGTGAGGCTCACGGCGGTGCAGTTCTGGGAATGTCAAAATTGCGTGATTGCCAAAATCCTGCAAAATCAACGGGAGGTTAGCGGTTTGTAGATATTTGATATGTTTAAATCCTTGTAAGTGGTGTCTTTTGCATATGCCACCTGTCTGCCGCCATGTGTGGGTACTGTGTGGGTACCTGACATGGGACGCCATGAACTTGTGGAAGCTGCAGGTACCAAGATTTCGAGAGACTTGTAGACGTTTTGACGCCCTTGCTGGAAATGACTGTCACCAAGGTGAGGACTTCACATGTGAGGTGTGAGGCAGCATAGATTTGAATGTTTGGGCCCCTTGGGCCCCTTGGGCGGTGAGGCCTTTCTGCGGGTGCTTTTCCAAGCTCTTGATGATGATGCAAACGGTGTCCTAGACCATGGTGAGTTTCAGGCAACTGTTGATTCAGTTGATTGAGGTGTTGTGAATTGTTGTGATTTGTGTTAGGACCTGTTCTTTTCCTACTGAGTCCTACTGGTGTTGTGCTTCGTTTGAGTCTCCCTTCTTTTTCGAATGCAGGACATGTGTGATGTGCTCCAGCTACTTGGACGCAGCCATGGAAGATTTCATCCCAATCAATTTGCGGGAATTGCATGTGGCTGAACCAAGGTTTGAATTTCACATCACTGAAAGAGATGCCTGTTTGAAGCAATGTATGGAAGGAACTTGCGTAGAGAGGTGGGGCTGTGCAGCTGGGAGTCATTCTTAGGAGTCATTCTTGTTTTACATGTCCATGGGTGGGAAGTTTGGTGCAGACATCCTTCCAACACCTTCGGATGACAGACTCCCTTGCAGATCATATGATGAGAATCTTCGCTTGCAGAATGGAACAAGTGACGGTGAGAAAAGTGATAGTGAGTAATGAGGATGCTGTTTGGCCACTATGTCAAGCCGCACTGTTCAAGGTAAGATCTCAGACTATTAAAATTAACTGAGACATGAAAGAAATTATTGCAGTAGGAAGGTCTTTCTCGGGTGAATCTTCACACATGGAACATGCATTAGATTTTAGACAGAAAAAATATTGAATACCCAAGTACACCAAGATGTGGATTTCTTGTATTTCTGTCACATGTACCGACTGAAGTTTGCCTTGTGCAGGACCATGACTGCCTTCATGGAGAATGATTCTACTGGTCCAAATTTAGGTGGGCAGAACATGCCATGGGATGAATCATGATGTGGTCACAGGGTGGCATCTTTCTCAAAGACCTTCTATATATTTACCAGCTATCACCAGCTCCTTCCCCTGTTGCAGCCAGGCTACACTTGCAGATATCCTGGCTGTGTAATGGACAAAGCTCGCATCTGAGATCAGCGTATTGCCAGTACAATGAAAATACGCAAGCATATGGCATAGCATTGTGCATATTGATTGGCATAGCATTGTAGCATAGCATAGTAGCATATTATGGGCATATTATGGGCATATTATGGGCATATTATGGGCATTGTAAATGCCTACAAATTGTGATGTTCTTCATTGCCATGAAAGTGAGTCGCTCGGTGACAGCTCCCAGATCATGAATGCCGTGATTGGTCTGAACGTGGTGTGGGTCTTCACTGAGTCTGTGGTTGACTTGAACGACTGGGAGGAATGGTGCTCCTGCTATACCCACAGACATATGAACATTCCAATCTTGGCATCAGGAGGGACCTTGCTTCCAGTACGCGGACCTATTCTTTTCCTTTGTTTACGTTTTGGAGGTGTGGGAATGTGGGAAGCGCTGAAGCGATTTCTGAAGTGTCCAAGCTCGATGCTGTCGTGATGTCGTGGTGCAAGGCAGTCTTGAAGCTTTGTCATTGGTCCTGGGCGGAGTACTGGTATCACGGAGACAACAGGCAATGTCGGCACTGCTCTGCACTGCTGTATATTTGTGGAATCCTCACCTTGAAGGACCTTGACTGAAAGACCCTAGCCCTAGCCTGTAGCAAAAAACTAAGTCGCTCTGTCTTCCTCCAGGTTTGATTTCGTAGCAAGCATGCTGTTGGGATTTGTGGCAGCCTCATTTCAAGCAAACTCTTAAGGGAGAAACCCAGAAACTATTTGCGCTTTGATTGGCATTGCTTGGAACTTGTTTGAGGTTGGTTTGTTATTCTTTCTGCTTCAGCAAGTTTCTGTGAGTATGCTGCGACGTGCAAACGTGCCCTGGCAAACAACGTCAGCTGATGGACTGAACAATTGTCTGACAATTTGATGATCGAACAGGCCTCCCCAGATCAATTCCATGGGAAAACAGAGAGGTTTCAACTTGTTTCAACTTTCAAGATCATGACTGAGCAACGGTCCTTGCCAAAGCCTTTGCGAATCTGTGGGACTGAGTTGCTCCGTTTGCTACGAGTGCTCAAAGCGATGCAACACATGAAGTTCTACCAAAGAACATGCATCATCGCTGCTTGGTTCAACACTTTGGGGCTGACCAGCCTTTGTGCATTTGCTGGCCTTCCCCCATCCCAAGCGGTGTCGAATCAGGATGTCTTACAAGCTTTGATAACACGTAGCATTGCTACCATTGAGGTGAAAAAGCTCTTAACTACCTGCCGGGAGGCATGGCATCCACAAATTTTGCCGACACAAGTCACAGAAAGTCACCTACAGCCACAGTTTCTGTAAAATGTTCGTGGCAGGTGCTCCTACTGAACTTGTTGGTGGTCCTTCTTTGGGCTTCGGGTGGAGTATCCTCCTCGGGTGGCAATTGATATGGGCCATAACTGGGTCGGGCCATGGATTCCCGTGGCATGGTGAGGTGCAGCTCTTTGGTGGTCAGTTGGTGGAGTCCAACCCTCGCTTGGAGGGCAAAGATTTGGGCTACTTCAGCAGCCACTACCAGGTCAGAATGGAATCAAACATCAAACACCGTCCAAAAAACACCAAACACCACAGAAAGTTCAGGAATGGACCAAAGTGAACAATGATTTGAATGATACTCCTGGCTTCTGGAGGTCTTCAACTTCAATGATGTGCTGATGGGAATGGTCACGCTGTTTGTCACGGCCTTGGTTTAGGTCTACAGTAGGTAGGAATACCATCCACCAGCAGATAAAAACAACAAAAGGACTTGTCTCATGAGAGGACACGCATTGGGAGCCGCCCATTTTGATTTGTGGACTAAGATAAAGATATAAAGTGTGTCAATGTGTGATCACATTTTTTGCTCCATGCCTTTTGAGCGATGACGTCTTCAATCTCAGGTCTGGACACTGGGAGATTGGAACGATGACATTGCACTCGCATGTCTCGACGCTTTGCAGTACTTGTGGATACTTGTGGACTGTTGCTGACGGTTGCTGATGTGCTTTCAACTTGCATGTCTTTCTCCTTGCCAGGAACCTTCCATGGAGCATCAATGAAATCATCAATCAAATCATGAATCAAATCATCAATTGGAATATTTTGGAATCATCAATTGCATCATCAATTGGATCATGGATTTTCTCAGATGCTGCAGCTTCAAGGCTCCAAGTGACAATGCCTGTGACAGCCGAGACCCTGGCCTCGAAGCTGTCGGACTGCGGTGTCCCTTTGGCACCGGCACCTTTAGCCGCTGCGGCACTGAAGGTTTGCCATTACCATGGACCGACAGCAGCTCAGGTGATTCGACATGGGCTGGCTAATCCGAGGGACCCATACGAATATGTGGATGGCCTTGCTCCTGGACCTTCACATGGAGATCCTGTCTTCAAACATCCTTGGGTCCAGACTCTCCTTGAGGTTGCACGGGACCGTGTGAAGCAGGCCTTGGATCAGCAGCCAGGACCGGCCGAGGACAAGTGGTTGATTTGCATTCGGACATTTGGGCGGCCTGGTGTTCGGTGTCAGCAAAGCGAGCTTCATCGCTTTCTCTTCGGTGTTCTACTGCCCTGCGCAGCCAAAATCTTGGAAGAGAAGCTGGAGGCTGCCAATTTGAGTCTACCAGCCTTAAGAAAGATGGCCAAAAGGCCTTTGAAATCGTTCCAAGAGGAGTTGAAAAAGGCAGGAGTTGGTCGTGTGCATCCGGAGACAGCCAAGAGGTTGTCAGAGACACTGTGTGAGCCATTGGAGAAGGTTGAGAAGAAGCTTAATTTGTCAGAGAAAGGTCTGCGGGAGTTGACCCTGGCAGCTTTGGAGCTGGCCCTTGGCCCTGAAGCGTACAAGCGCTGTTTGATTTTTGTGTCACATACAGACGAGGCCTGGACTTCGGGCAAATATGATGCTGCACTCAGTGGTACGCATTGGGCAGACAGAGTTGTGGTTGGAATCCGAGGAGCTCACCTTCAGGCAGGACAATCAGGACAATGTGTTTCATCATTTTCTGTGGAAAACAATCTTTGGGATTTAAGAGATTTTAATAGTTTAGGAAGTTTCGGATCTTAAGGCACACTGAATTCATGACCCATGGTCCTGACATGTCCCATATGTCCCCCCTCATTCCATGAAGTGTAAGTGAGCTCTCCCCAATGGTTGATTCTTATCGCAGGTTCGCTTCATGGAGGAGGCAGCTCCCAAAGGGAGCCACATCGTGGTCATGGACGACAACATCCAGTCTTTGATGGTGGAAATTCCTGAAGATTCTGTTGTCGCAGAGCGGAAAGCTGCAGGGGTGGTTAACTGCTGCACACAGCCATTGACCCATGAGGCCTCCTGCTTCAATCCGCTGGCTGGGACAGGTCTGAGCACCATGGACGAGCCTGAGCTGATGTGCTTTCTTCGTACAGTCTGCCCAGAACTGCAGAAGAGAAAGAACACTCGCAAAGTCGTGGAAATTCTGCTGAAAATGCAGGTCACGTCGCTGAAGAAGTTCAAGTGCCTACCAAAGCAAAGAATTGATGCTTTGTTCGAAGCATTGAGGTTGTCAGCAAAGAAGCAAAAAAAATGCTTGGATGCGACAAGATGCAAGACAAAGCTTCCCATACCACGGGTGCTCACGAAGCCTTCAGAAGGATGCGAAGGAGAACTTCAACTGCAAGAGTCGAAGAAACACGGCACGAAAGCCGAACTCTTCCAGTTGATTTGCCGTGCCGGACGCGAGATGCAGAAACATGGCGTGCATGTTTGGGGCGTCAACCCTTCAAAAAACCATTTCTTTCTGAAGGGGCGTGGTGACTCTATTCGCAAGATGGCCGAATCAAATGGCGTCGTCCAAGACTATTCATCTGGTTTGGGCCTGGTTTTTGGGGCATGGTTTGGCTTTCGCGTCACGCACAGCCCTCAATTCTACACCAGACAGGGGCAAATCAAAGATGATGTGGAGCGAACCTTACGCTACTGGCATGCAGACAAGAAATTGTTGCGCTTTGTACGGTATGGAGCCGACAAAAACGGGTTCCGACCAGGGCAATTCAAATCAAACAAAGGTGGCATTTCCTCCAATTCGTCGCAGCAGGATCATAGCACTGAGGCAGAAACTGCGATCCGCAGTCTCATCCAGGAGTTTGGTCAATATGTTCGCTTGCCGAAGAAGAACGAGAAGTCCTCTTGTGGCCTCATTTGGTCTGATGGTCGAATTTCGAAGAGACGGAAGAAGTCGCTTGTCCATCCGCCCTCCAAAAGATGCAGACTTTGATGTGTTCAGAGTAGCCTTTCACAGTGAAACCACTGTGCCGTTGTACATTATGTACTCTTGGGGTAAACCGTTGAGAGTTTTGCTCAACTTCACTGCAACATGTGCAGGGCTTGAGTTCAGAACCAGCGACGCCTGGCATGTGCTGGGAAAACGCGGAGAGGGGTAGGGGTTGCAGTTCAATTTTGAGCCCTGCAGTGTCACACCACGCCTGCTGTTCATGCCGTCTCAGATGGAAAGACAGAAACAAAATGGAACAAATATCTGAAGAAAAACTGACTGAACGTTCGGAATTGCTCAGCTCTGAACCTAGGAACTTGCTGATCCCTGGACAACTTACAAGGCCGGAATGAGAATTGAAAGGTGGATCATCAAAACCCTAGTTGGATGACTGGTACAAAGACTTTTACTCAGTTTTTTTTGAAACTAGTAAGCAACCTGCAGGTTTTTGAAACAGCTCAACGGGCAGTCCATGGAGATTTTGCTGCTGATGTGTGCCTGGAGGCCTTGATATGGACCTTCTTGCTGAGCTATTACATTGCTTCGCCCCTCTTAGCTTACAATGTGCCATGCCGCGCATGCGATATTGCTGCTGACTGTAATGACTGGTGTTTTTTTTTTTTAAACCTTGAAGTTGACTTTTTGTTCAGATACTGTGAGTTTCATTATGTAATGTTTCCCGTGTCATTTGCGACAACTACCAGGTACTTTCTGCCTTTGCAATCGATGTGTACCAGAAGATTGATGAAGAGGTGAATCATTTGCCATTTTCTGGTGAGAACGGAAAATGCCATACTTTGAAACTTTGTGTGAAACAATCAAACATTGTGGTGAAAAATCTGACCACAATTGGAGGTTCAAAACCAAGAGGAGAGCAGTCTCAGAGCGGACATTCTGCAGAGCAGAGGTATATTTGTATATATTTGTAGTATTTTGATGTATTTTGTAGCTGTCAGACAAATTGGATCTAGGTGCCACCGTGCCACCCTATTGAGAAATGATGAGAAATGGCTGAATCGGAGATTTCTCACATCCAGTCTTTCATGGTCCGTCAACTACGATAGCAACTCCGTCCAATCCGGGAAGGCAAGTTTCAGCAACCAAGCTGTCGCTTGCGCAGGAAAAGGGCTATGAACTTTGCGAAGTGGAGAGAAACTTATTGCTGATCCAGGCCACAGCCAGTGTCACTTGAATCACTAGGCGTTTTTTTGTCTTGGTTTGTGTTCTGAATCGGACAAAATTGGCAGGCTGAAATGGCTGCAAATGGTTTGGTGCTACACATGAAGGACTCTTCGGTGTTGAGCAAGATGGCAGTAAATTGTATACAATTTGAGATGATTTGATGTCTTCTTCCGTTTGTGGACCCCCAAGTACTGAGTGGCTATGCAAATTCCGCACAGTAACTACTCAACTTCTCATTCCAATGCCAAAGTGGGGCGACCACTTGTAGATTCGTGTTCAGAGGATCATTGAAACTAAAACCCTGGCCGTTGCCTAGAGGAGTCTGCCGATTTGGCAAAGCTTCGAATCCACACTGCCCTCTTCAGTTGAGACTCTGGCAGTGTGTTTCTTGCTGCGGCAATTGGACGTTTTCCAGAAATTACTGCCGACTGACTGGGTCTCCAAACCAGACATGTTCAACTCATTTTTGTGCCGAAATGTGGGCAAGTACCTGTTGTTTCTATTGCTGCCCTGAACGCTGTGTAGACTATATACACACGTGTAGCAATGCTACTCACAATTTCTATTTGGAGATGCAGTTGATGCTAACGCCTCCTCCTTATTCCTGAGCAGAAACGATGCTTAGGAATCGTTGCTGTCGATCATAGTTTGTCTTGAAAACATGGCTGGTTTGACTCATAGAGTGCTGATGCTGTGTTCTAGGCAAGCCTTCATTCGTTCGAAACAGCTGCTCTTTGTTTGAACGTGCAATTTGATCCTTTTCTGCCCTTCCTACTGTGATTGGCTCAAGCACTGTGGCCGGTGAGAAAGCTCACTTTGAAAGGCACGGGCTCATTTGACAGCACATCTCCACAATGCTGCGCTGAGTTGGGAAATACATTCAAACTTATGGCACGTCAAAGTGTTTGGCTGCACCACGCTGACCAAAATATCCAAAATTGTCACCAACTATCAGAAGCTTGATCTTTGCTCATGATTTTGCAATATTGAAGACATTGAAGATGGGCTCTTGAGCTAACCGTTTCGACGCAGGTGAGGCTGAGGCCTGGCGCTGGCAGCTCCAGTTTCGTCTGGCAATATTGAAATGATACCCATCCGATGTCATCAAACAGGGCAATGGGGAATTGTTGAAATCCGCTGCAAATGGTATTTGAATGGGAAATCAGCTATAAATGAAGGTTTTCCATTGCCATGTTCGGTTACCAGATGGTAGATTACAGAACCGTGGTTCTTGTTCGCATTTTCAGATGACTGTGATGCTTATCATGTCCGCCGCTGTTTGATTCAGGTCCGCTGGCAACACACACACACAATCTATGAAAACAATGACATTGTGAAGAAATGGCGATTTGATCTCACAAACTTTCTTATTGCGCGTACTTTTTTAATCCTGCTTCTGTTTGTGATCGCTTTTGCTCCAATCACCTATTACTATCCTGTACCCGCCTTATTCCTGCCAAGCTGGACGACTGTGATATGCCTTGACTGAAGATATTCACACATTGTGAGTGGAGGCATTGCGCCCCACCAAACCCAACCAGTCTGATGCCGCCGAGGCAAGGATGTCGCACGGTAATCTTGGGGTGCCGGGCTGAGAGTTCCTTGTGACATGAATCGAACATGCTGGGCAAGGGCGGCAAGGGCGGCAAGGGCGGCAAGGGCGGCAAGGGCGGCAAGGGCGGCAAGGGCTGCAAGGGCTGCAAGGGCTTGCAGCCTCACTGGAAGCACCCTTGCCCTTCTCATTGACTGTAGCAGCAGTAGAGGCTGATGAAGCTGAGTCCAATGAATTCCCAGGTGCTGTTGCTCAATCTGCCAGAGTGCCTTTTAGGACTCTTTCAGCTCTTGGATGCAAAGGCCAGTCGTTGGACACACTTTGGACATCTTTGGACACACATTGATTTTGAAATATGTTTGAATTGGGGAGCTGGGCTGGAGCTGGATGATGCTGGATGCTTGATAGAACTACCACTTGCAGGGATTGGCACACCTCCGGCGCTGTGCTCACATAGGCAGAGCGGTGGCCACTGAGACTTCAAGGGAGTTCCACTTGCATGAGTGGTGTTCATGTCCATCCATATTCATCCTGAGAAACAAAACCTCACAAGAATCGAGGGCAAGAACTCAGCGACAACAAAGGCCCCAACATACCCCATCATGTAGCAGGAACTCAAGGATGGTGAATCCACGCGTAGCTCCTGTGCTATTGTCGCTGCCTCCGCCGAGGTGGTCATGGAGCTGGAACGGCTTTGTCACGAGCAGCAAGAGTGGCTTGGCAGCGACAGGAGCTGTACCAAAGTCAGGCTTATGTATATTTTATATATGATATATATATGATATAATATGTATATACTGTTGTTCCTGCGTCACTATTGTTTGATCTTGGGATGACTTGAGCTTGTCCTACTTCAAGTAGGACATACTCATGGAAGTACATAGCATGCACACGTGCCTCTTTTTCTGAGATTTCTGGAACCGTAGATGCGTGGTCCTTCGAACCCCCGCGCCCCGTAGCCATTTGGAACGTCCATTTTTTCAGCTGTGGACCATCCTTGCCAATTTTGGCTCCTCTGGAGGAGGACTGCACTCTCAAGCCAAAACCTACCCGCTAAAAAGACAGAAACGTATTTCCAGGATGGCATAGATATGCATAGATGATGTTTTCCCCATAATTTCATGCAATGTCGAGGTTTCAAGCTTTCTATCTGTTTAGGGATGCTATAGACCAAATATGATACTTGACAAGAATCATGTTTCATCGCGTTTCCATATATTTTTCAATTAATCAATGTCAGGCCACTGTGCAAAGTCAACGTTTCCGTTTGAGTCTGTAGGAGTATCGAAGATGTTTGGAGCAGCGAAGGGAGATGCTGCCTATGCACGTCAAGCTTCGTCACCTGTAATGACCTACTCCAACTCTAGCGATAACATGGAGCCTTGGTGGTTTAGCTGGCCTTGGTGGCCTTGCTTCAGAATCCGGGTGAGTTGGTGAGTTGCGAATGTCTAAGGATACCTTGAACCTCGAGGAGATCTCAGAGCTTCCGCCAATGTTCGGGAGAGAACACAGACCTGCAACAACCTCAGAGTGCCATTTGGTATATAGACTACAGATAATATAGCCTCCGCATGTCTCCAGATCTAAGACTACGTGATGGGTATCATACATGCCACGTGCCGATGGAAATTGATGACCTGGGCCATCCGACGCTATGGCCATCTCCCAGGTGGCCCAGACCTCTGTCTGGCTGTCCACTCCAGAGACACCGGACACACCACGGAGTCGAAGCGAGTCGAAGGAGAGCGTAGCTGGGCGTAGCTGGGATCACCGGCCATTTTGTAGCATTTTAATGGGAAAAAACATCTCTAAACGTGTGTCCGTATGCACATACATGTAGAGATGCTTTTATATATATATATATATCATAATATATATAACATAATAAATAATGTTTAATATATAATATATAATGTATAATATATAATCTATATAACATAATATATAATATATAATGTATAATGTATAATGTATAATCTATAATCAATAATATATAATATATAATATGATATATGATATATGATATATAATATATAATATATAATATATCATATGCAATATGTAATATATAATACATACTATGTAATACAAGATAACAAATATAATATACAATATACAATATACATATATATATATAATATATGTATATGTATATATATAAAATGTGTATATATATAATATTATATTATATATAATATATATATATAAAATATAATATAATATATACATATATGATATATAATATTTAATATATAATATTTAATATATAATATATAATATATAATATATAATATATAATATATAATATATAATATATAATATATAACATTATATAATATATAATATATAGTATATAATATATGATATATGATATATTATAATATAATATATAATATATAATATATAATATATAATATATAATATATAATATATAGTATATAATATATAATATATAATATATAATATATAATATATAATACATAATATATAATATATAATATATAATATATAATATATAGTATATAAATATGTATATATATAATATATATATATAATATATATATATATATAATATATAATATAATATAATATAGTATAGTATAATATAATATAATATAATATATAATATAATATAATATAATATAATATATATAATTATAAATAAACATATAAACATATAGATATATTAATAAATAACTAACTAACTAAAGAAATAAATAAATCAGTATGCATATACATACATATATGCGACGCTATATAAATGGTATATACTACGTTACAGACAAATAAACATAACTTGCATGCAAATATGAAGATATTTGGCTGCAACTCTGAAGCAGTCCCTTGGTTCCTTGGTCATTCTTGACCCTGTGAGGTCAAAATATGCAAAATCTGACTGAAGATGCTAAATATTAGGTTCGAGTCGGCAATTGGCAGCAATCGTTTTTTTTGTTTGCTTGGAATTGGTGAATGCGTCGCACACCTTCAGTTTTTTTTTGAGACACCCAACTTGACACCCTCATGGCAAATAGTTTGTCAAACACCCCAAGTTGGTAGATCTGGCACCAGTTGAGCCTGGCTGCTCCGAGCTTTGAAAGACAACAAGGGGATTCCAGGTGTCACTTGGTTCCCATCCATTTTTTGCGCAGCCAAGGCAGGACCACAACAGTTGCTGATCATGAAATTTGGTGGTACTTCAGTTGGAGGAGGAGAACAAGTCCTCCGATGTGCTGGAATCGTTCGACAGGTGCGATGCATTCGATGTGATGCACCACATGGAGCTGCAGTGAATTCCTTCCGCGAGGCACTTCCTGGTAGACCAGTCGTCGTGGTGAGCGCGATGGGCAAGACAACAAATGCCTTGCTGAGTGCTGCTAGAAGCGCAGTGGAGACTGGCGAGGTTGACATCTCCGCAATTAGGAGAGCCTGCAATCACATCAACTGCATGCATCTAATTTTTAATAACTTTAATCAATTTAACCTTGGGTAAGGCAATTTCACCATTGGCTCCAACATTTATAGAAAGCTGCTATCATGGCCCTGACACGTGTTGTTCCACACTGCCACGCACCTCCAGGAAAATGCACGAATCTGTGATTCAACACATTGGGTGACCAAGCTGGATTGAGTTCTTCCACTCTGAGCATTTGCGACACATGCGACACATGCAACACATCGTTGTGCTTTGAAGTGATTCTCGGATGATATGTGCCACTTTGCCGAGGATAGATATGCCTACCAGCATGAATGAGCTTTTGAATGAGTTGGAGCGAATCCTCAATGGTGTAGCTTTGCTGAAGGCCGCCGATGCAGTGAAGATGCTCCTGTTTGAGTGTCAAGTCTTGTGATTGGATCACTTCTATACACTACACCCTTGCCCATGCAGGAAATTTCGACTCAGACACGTGACCGTATTGTTTCATTCGGTGAACGCCTGAGTGTTCGTGCCTTTGCAGCAGCCTTTAATCAAACAAAGGGCGAGGAGGACAGCGGTCACGGAACTTCGAGTCGTCAACATTGTCTCAGTATCCACACATTGTTATCAGTGATGCAAGCTGAGTTGATATCATTTGATCATACAAGCATGTAAAATATGTATACTGTATAATGTATATATATTATATTATATTATATTATATTATATTATATTATATTATTATATTATATTATATATATTATATTGTATTATAAATTATATATTATATATATAGTATATAAGTAGAAATATTACGACTCCTATACCACCACTGTATATACTAGTATTAGTTCACTCCATACTGTAGCTATGACACCAACACTCCAATAGATTGTACAGTCATCTTAATCACCACGCAACCTCCAACTAGATGCGTTAGTTGTAGGTGTAGCCGTGTAAATAGATTAGGAATTGACCCCCTCTTTTAATCCAGCAGGGTTGGTCATAGTAGCCTAACGTAATTTACTCGGCTCAAGCGTCCCATAGCAAAAAGGGGCGTTTGCATGATTTTGAGACAAGGGAGATTAAGACTTTCCCAGCAAAAGAACACTAAGCCAATACGGCTGATAACCAGAGAAACAGGGGGAAAAACAAGAAACCAAGTATTAATCTCCACTGTCCCAAAGATCTACACATGTGCGCCCTTTTTGCACGGGCGTCTTGAGCCATATGTCATTAGGCATTAATTAATCCTATATATACATGGCTACTACCCCATGGTTAGAAGCGTTAACCTAAAGGGGTAGTAGCCATGTATATATAGGATTAATTAATGCCTAATGACATATGGCTCAAGACGCCCGTGCAAAAAGGGCGCACATGTGTAGATCTTTGGGACAGGGGAGATTAATACTTGGTTTCTTGTTTTTCCCCCTGTTTCTCTGGTTATCAGCCGTATTGGCTTAGTGTTCTTTTGCTGGGAAAGTTTTAATCTCCCTTGTCGGTAACTTAGGCCCCACGCAACTTCGTTCACTGCCTTTCATTTTTCGCTGATTTCCTGTTTCACCATTTTATGGTACCAGAGCATCTGCCGGAAGGGGCTGCTTCTAGCGCCCTTGAACCAACTGCTGACGGGAACCCGGAGGCAGAGGCGGAGGTAGCTGAAAGCACCGAAGTCGCTGTCGGAGGTAGTACTGGATTCAGTTGGGCAGACGCCTCTGAGGACGCGCCCGAGCCTTCAGCTGGTTTTGGGGTGGGAGGGGCTGCTTCTAGCGCCCCAGTGGACGACGCCGACGAGGACTTTGACCTCTTGAGATTTGACTCTCTTTCCCTTCTTGACCCGGTCAAACCGGAAGAGACTGTCACTGCAGAAGAGTTGTTCGAAGCACTTGAGGCTGACGCCGATCCCACTGCCGAGACTGCTGAACTGCCGGCCGCATCCGAACAAGTTGAAGCAGATACCAATCTCGAAAATAATAATCCCGAAAATTTAGTTCCAAAAGAAGAAGCTGATTTTTCTAATAACCCTGATCAAGAAACTAGTGCTGAGGTTGCAGACTCCGCTGCAGATCCGATTGTAGGAAGCTCTCCATCCGTAGTTGAGCCAGATCCTAATTCGACATTTGCTCCGGTATACGTCCAGCACCTTGGAGGGGTAGCGGAAGAGGACGAAGTCCCACCGCCCCCAACATCACCATTTCTTGAGCAGGAAGGGGCTGCCGCAGGCGCCTCAACATCTGGACACGTCCAAACAGGCCATTCTCCTGCAGGGCCGTCCAGAGGTCCCCGTGTACGTGGTACTAAAGGCGGGAAGAAAGCCCAAACCAAGAAACTCATCCAGCGTTGGCAAGCCGATTTTGATCGTTTAGCTAATTTCCTTTGGGACGAGGCGGAATTCTGGCTCAGGTACGTCCACCACTCAGAAGCAAGTGCTGAACTGATTTGGACCGTCCGTGTCTGTAGAGTCCTCTACAACCATTGTACGCTAAACCAGATCTTAGTCCATTTTGCTAATACCTTTGCTCCTTATAGAAATTGGGTTTTTACCAGCGGTTATCGAAGAGGTGAATTGCATCTTGCTCCAGATACAGCTGCAAATACTGTTTTACCCGATAGGGATCACATTAACTTGCAAGCTTTTGGGGACCCAGATCCACCTAGATCCGTGTGGGACGACTATAATACCTATAGGGGTGCACAGCCAAAAGGTAAGGCAAAAGCCAAAGCTAGTGTGTTTACCCAGAATACTGAACTACCATCTGAACCCGAGCAAGCTACAGCCTTAGGTGTTGACCCATCATTAGATAGGGGTGTAAGTTCCTCTGAAGAAACCCACACTCCATCACCAAGGGGCCCACCGAAAGCTAAAGCTAGGCCGAAGCCAGCGTCTCAACCCAAGGAACCTGATCACCCACCGCCGTGGGTGCCATCCCTTCGACCTGCAGGCCATCAATCCGCTCCGAAAGTTTCACATTCCGTAGCCAGTGTTCCTCCGCCACGTGACACGGGAGGGGCTGCTGAAAAGCGCCCCAAACTTGAAAAGGCTGAGCAAGCATCCGATCCAAAAGCATCCGGCGAAGCATCCGTGCCTGAGCCGCCTAAGCCTAAAGCATCGGACCCCAAAGTTGCTAAGCCCCCTAAGGATAATCCTTTAAATAGATTAGGACCACCATCAAGTTATCCAGCACCTTCGTTGCCACCACATCGAGATTTCCACCAAACTTTAGGACCCCCTCCGCAGCGGCCGCCAAGAGCTGCAACGCCAAGAGGAGAGAGGGCTGCAACAGCGATCCCTCCGCCACCATCTCATCCACCGCCATCGGCGGCCGACTTGGACAAGGCAGAGCGTGGGAGACCACGTGAGAGAGCTGGCACACCCCCTGCCCGAAAAGTTAAAGGTGGTAACATCGATAAAACCCCAGCTGCGTCAGCACCCGCTGCACCTAAGCCAGTGAGCCGATCAAGATCACGGGTTCCAGCCACCCTCATCCCGAGGGAAGACGGTTCTTTTGCTGATCCGGACACCGAAGTCTTAAGGCGTGCACGGGGTGGTAACTTAGGTACCCCTAGTCTTAGCTCCCGACCAATAGCTCTTAGGCCTACTGACACTCAATATCCCCCAGTAGTAATCAACTCAGAGGGCACTTGGGTGAGAATCTCTAAGCCCCCAGGGGCCACTGGTCGCGAGCCTGCAACCGTCCCTGTTGCTATCTCAGGTGTTGCCGCATCTTCAGACGACCCCCACGAGCTTTCCGACGAAGTCTGGAGGGATCCATCTCTGACAGGCAGTAATACCACTTTGGTAACCTCCCATAACACCCAAGTAATCCCAATCTCAGAGCCTGAAGGCCTAGTTGCCGTTGATTCAGAAACTGTAGAAGGGGTTGAGGAAGAAGAAGAAGCCACTGCCCCACCGCCGAAACGCAGGGCCATTGGTATCACAACATCTTCTGGGCGTAGGCAGGTTTATCAATCCCGACGTAGGTCACCCCTTCAACCTGAGCCAACATCAACCGCTGCCGCTCCAGGTGAGCCTCCATCCGAACCTGACGCCCCGGGTGACGATCCGTCTGAACCCGGTGAACCTCAAGAAGGCGAAGGCGAGGAGGAAGAGGACCACTCATCTGATCCTCCTGAAGCCCCTCCCGAGGGCGAGGAAGAGGTAGAAGTTGAGGTTGAGGTTGAGGAAGAGGCTGCTCCATTAGCGCCTCAGGAACATAGCACTCCATTGCAGCCATCTCCAAAAGCATCATCCCCAAGAGGTAGTGTTAGTAGGTTTTTGCCAACACCTGCAACAAGTGCTGAGCGTTCCAGATCACGTCATAGGGACACACCACAAGAGGAAGAGGCTCCAGTTGCCGTAACAACTTCTTCGACAAGAGTTTCAGGTACAATCCAAACCCAAATCTTCCGAGACGGCACCAAAGCCGAGGTTTTTGTTCCTGATATCCCAAGATCCAAGACTCCTCCAAAATCAATAGGTTCGCCACCACCTAGATCATCATCTCAACCAGCTAAATCTAAGCCGCCTCCACCCGGAGTTAGTGCAGCAAGTAGGTCCGCATCAGCAGTTCCACCCTGGCGGGAAGGGGCTGCACGTGCGCCCCAAGGAGGTCCACCAATCAAAAAGAAATACAAGGCTCCTCCTAGACCTCCCTATAACTACTCCGTAACTGTTGGCCAAGCTTACGAGCCAGGTGTTGATCCAGATCCACCAGCGCCTACTGAAGAGGAGCTCAACGCGGCCTGGGCACGTTCAAAAGAACGACAGGATAAAGATTGGGAAAGACACGTAGAGTCACTTGCCGATCGAAAACATCGCCAAGCACTAGAGGCATACAATCAATCGGAGAGGCAGAAGCAAAAACATAATAAAGTTAAGCCACCTGCTAAACAACCTCCTTTTGTAGTTCCCCCTAGACCCGATCGTCCTGTGCCAAAAGCCCATAAGACCGCATCCCCAAAACCTAGTCCACCTGCGACACCACCATCACCACATCCGCAACCACCTGTGGCATCTTCTACATCGACAGCAGCTGTTCCTACTAGAGGTAAGGCAGGTGCTGCGATTCGCGCGCCAGGGGGTAGAATAGATTTAGGCCCTTTAATCCGAGCTCGTCAAGAGCGAGGTGCCATTGGCAATAATCTAGTCGTGTTCTTCGACTGGCACGACACCCTCGACTGCGCCAGAAACGCCCTTAAGGTATTTGACCAATCGATAAGTTTATCAACCTAGTGCAAATCGCTCAAGGCAGAATCGAGTTCCATATCGTTTCCTTCTCCGGCGTCGCCCGAGGCCGGCAAACAGAAGAAGACGCAAATAACCTTGCGGAGTACTGTAGATCACAGGGCCTTCCTTTTAGGACAGTAACTGTGGTTAACGATCCAGTAGGTCCTGGTGGTAAGACACCCGTCCTTACATCTAGCGGCGCCAACATCCACATTGACGACCGCCAAGACGTTTGTGACGAAGCTGCACGTGCCCAACATTTACACCATCACTGCGTATAAGTCTAGTACTTTGAGTTGGTGGCCGCAATTGGAAAGTGCAGTCCGTGACAAAGGGGTGG